TCCAAATCTGGACGCTTGGCAACTGGCTCATATTTATAACGGTTGCAGTATCCCAGGATTATGTAAGTTTTGGGCTTAGTTGTGGTAAGTTGAGGACTATCATGTCATCCCTAGTCCTTTTTTATGCAAACAGACAGCCTCGACTTTCTATCAATTGCAGGGAGACTCTCCACATTGTTTCTCTTTGCGCCATTAGGCCACGTAATGGCTTTCTGGAGGGCGCAGATGTTATTTGTGATGGAATGTTGTGGAATAGATCATTGTCAAAGAGGAAACCTTTCCAGCAAGAGAGGAAATAGGTTTTAGAAGTTTCCCAGCTGAATTAGAAATTGCACTTAAAGGAGATGTTAGCTAATGGGATGGTTGCTGAAGATTAAACCACGACTGCATCAGCTATATGAGTTATCAGGTGGCTAACCAATTGAGATACAGTCAGTCTGGCTGTTCCTTCAAGTGGCTGTCCTTTCAGAAACGAGGGTGATACAGGTAGCCCTTGACTTAGGACCAGAATATCCATCGCTAGGCCGATTCTCATCAGGTCAAAATTGTCTCAGCCTTCCATCCTTCCGAGGTCGGTAAAATGAGGACCCAGATTGATGGGGGAGCAATGTGGTGACTCGTGCATGGAAGAAACATTATCCTGGCTTTTTCTTGTAAATATGTAAGTTGAAAAGAGGGCAAATTAGTTTGCATCCAATTTAGGCTGTGGGTAAGTAGCAGGAGAAAATTACATATTACGCTTATATATGTTTCTCACATTTGGTGTTAGATACGTCTGCCTGATGAAGACATTCTTATGGAAATGACTTCCAACCGCACAATTATACCTTTTAGAAATACAATTTGCAAAGGGCCCCTTTGGGCTGTGGATTTTTTTTTTAACCTGGCTAATAGCTTCATGTTAATTAAGATAGAAAAATAATATTTGATTTTTGTAGTAGGATCGAATATTTCCTTGCGTTTAGTTTGATTGGCTGATTCTTTGATTTATTGACAGTGAGAGTAAATTGCTTGTCTGGAATTCTGCTTGTTTTATATATAATTCATCCAGTTTGCTGCCTTCCTTGCAAAATTAATGTTTTTAAATTGTACAAAATGTAGGGAAGAACAGTTCTAGAAGAGTTTATTCTACCTTTCAGTCTTTTGCTTATTCAAATTTAAATTAGAACAAATTAGGCAATTTGAAGGTGGTGTGGTGCCATAAAATGAGCATTGAAAGTTCAGCCTTCTGGTTGGGGTAGAAATCTCCTTTTCTCTTTCTCACCTTTGATGGAACTTTTATAAAGTTTTTTCTGATATCTTCTGCAAATATAAATTCTTTCCATAAGCCCAAAGACATGCAAAAAGAGGTACTGAAATAAGGCCAAATTAAGACCGATCTTTCAAGGACACACCTGTCCAAAGAAGATGTTGACTCCTTTATTAATGTTCTCTCAGGAGAAGGATTCAGATAATGTGATCTTTTAAAGAAACTAATGCTGTTTGTCTTGGAAACTAAGAAGAGTCTTGGTGTTTGAGGACAGGCCAAAATGCTGACATTTCAGTTCTAAAAGCAGAAATGCTAAAATTCAAGATTTGGCCTGGCTATTCTTTACTGCTGTAGATGGTTCTTCATTCTTGGTCAGAATTCTGGGAAGACATCTTCATGCTTGCTCAATAGCTCCTCCTCCTCCTCCTCCTCCTTTTCCTTCTCTTTTTCTTCTTCCTCCTTCTCCTCCTCCTCCTCCTCCTCCTCCTCTTCCTCCTCCTCCTCCTCCTCCTCCTTTTCATTCTGGGTTCAGGCCAAGGCCTAGCCAAGACTTATGTCCATTGCTTGACGCTGTGGAAATCATGTTTGGAAAAGGATTTACTTTTGGTTTATGTAGAGCCATGTAGATGATACATGAACAATCTTTTAACTTTGTTTTCTAGCCAGAGCCCAGAAGTCTACTTACTTTATCTTTAGGTAGTTGCAAACTGGATCCTCGGAGTAAAAGGAATACATACAGTATAGCCTAAAAAGGGGATGACAGAGAATGAGATGGCTGGATGGAGTCACTGAAGCAGTAGGTGTGAACTTAAATGGACTCCAGAAAATGGTAGAGGACAGGAAGACCTGGAGGAACGTTGTCCATGGGGTCGTGATGGGTCGGACATGACTTCGCAATTAACAACAACAACAACAACAAAAGCCTAAGAATAAAATAATGGGAGAGAGGAGTAAACGCTTAAGCCAGGGATCTGCAAGCATTAGAATCAAGTTCTTCGGCACAAAAGTTCCAGTCTCGTTTTCCTTTTGAATATCATTCTTTTCAGAAATCCAATTTAAGAAGAGAAAGTTTTATTGATTGCAGTTGTTGAGAGTTCAAAACTGTTTCTGGAAATCATTCCAGGATTTAAAGCGTATCACTCTTCCCCCCCCCTAAAAAAGCACATCCCAACATAAATCACTTTCTTGAATCTTCTATACGATTGGGTGGCTGTTCTAGGAACTTAAGCCCAAATAGTTTTTTGGGTATCTGCATATATAAATTTTCTTTTGGGAGACCCCAGTTTCTCCTAAGGTTCAACAATGGCTTCTGTATTACTTGGAGCGCAAACTTGTGAAGACCCTCAAAAGCTTTCATGGGCAAATGTTCTTGATGTTGAGAAGGCCAGATGTTGAGATATGATATGATTTTGTAATTGACCTATCAGATAGGCCACTTAGCTAACTCTTAAAGATTGAAGATCCTTCAAGAACCTTCCATGAAGGGAAGGTTCTTGAAGGGTTTTGTTGCAATTATGTCATGCCTTATTCTTCTATATTGTAGATGGATATTTGGTGGTTTGTACCTTGTGGTCATCCAGGAAAATGTTATATGAAATTAAGTCCTCAAATAGGGAGGTTAACTTGATATTGATGGCCTTTTCAGAATTATGGAGATAAGAGTGGCATCTAAATATAACTAACACTGTCAGTGATACAGGGAGGAGAGATTAGATGAACATCAATCAATATTCCACTTCTGTGGTCCAAACATAATAGCTGCTTCCAACTCACAAAAGCTACAATCTCCCTATAGGTCTTTTTTTTTAAAAAAAATGATTTTGTTGATGTTGTTTTTGGGGCCTTGAGTTTGTGCAACTTTCCATCTGCTTGTTATGTAGCAGTTGATCTATTCCCAGGGAAAGAAAAACCAACCAATTTGTAAATTTTGTCACTACATTTTCAAAATCCTAAATGCATTTTAAAACTTTGTTAAAATGTTTTATGTCAATAGCCCAAAGATACAATTGTGAATGTAATTTCTGTCCATCCTTTTCTTGGTAATGTGCATTGACTAAACAGACCTAAAATCAGAAGTTTCCTGACAGTGAGAACAATTAATCAGAGGAACGTGTTGCCTTCAGAAGTTGTGGGTGCTGCATCACTGGAGGCTTTTAAGAAGAGACTGGACAGCCATTTGTCCAGGATAGTAGTAGGTTTCCTACCTTGAGCATGGGGTTGGACTAGAAGATCTCCAAGGTCCCTTCCAGCCCTATCATTTTATGATTCTAAGTCTGTGTTTTATTATGGTTGGTAGTATGACAAGATGCCACTAGTTTTTTTTTTTATTTTGGGATAATATAGACTAACATGGCTCTCCTCCTATAATGGGAATAGACTTAGTAATTGGTCTGTCAGTAGAAGTAATAAATTCAGAAGGGTCAATGGATAAAGACTGTGAGGTTGATGGGACAGCAGTCTAGATATTAATGGAGTCTGGATTAATGCAAAGGACAGGAGAGAAGAAGAAAAAAACATGAAACAAAACATGAACAAAACACATCCCTGCATTCTTGAAGTTGTGTGGAGGGTTGTGAATTATAGTATCTGCTGCCTGAAATCGAATAATGATAGGAGACTATAAAAGAGACTGATTCACATTTTAATGGAATTCCTCAAGAGTTCATGAGTGTATATCTGTTTACTTAGTACTAAAATCTTCATTCCAATTTTGGCTTAAAATTAATCTGAAGAAGTTCTGACAAAAGAAGTGATGTATGGGACTCAAACTGAATTCTACTTCCCCTCCAGTACCTATTCAGATTATATCTAACCACAAGAAAACATTTTTATTAGAAATGGACTATCGAACCTAGAATAAAGAAGACATTTCCTGATATAGAGCAATTCATCAGTGAAAAAGCTTGCCTCCAGAAGTTGTAGATGCTCCAGCTCTGGAGGTTTTGAAGAAGAGATGGATGGGCATTTGTCCAGAATAGTATAGGGCAGGGGTGTCCAACCTTGGCAAGTTTAAGACTTGTGGACTTTGACTCCAGAATTCCCCAGCCAGTCATATTGGCTGGAGAATTCTGGAAGTCAAAATCCTCAAGTTACAAAGTTGCCAAGGTTGGACACCCCGTTATAGGGTCTTCTGCTTGAGAAGAAGGCTGGACTAGAAGACCCCCGAGATCTCTTCCAGCCCTATCATTCTGTGATTCGAAGTCTGTGTTTTATTAAAGTTGGAAGTATGACAAGATGCCACCAGACTTCTGATTTTTGGCTAATGTAGACTAACAGGACTTTCTTGCTATAATGGGAACAGGATTAGTAATTGGCTGTCTATAAAAATAATAAATCCAGAAGGGTCAATAGATAAAGACTGTGAGTTGATGGGACAGCAGCCTGGATATTCCCCATATTGGCTGGGCAGTTCTGGGAGTTGAAGTCCACAAGTCTTAAAATTGCCAAGGTTGGGCACCCCTGGTATAAGGTCTCCTGCTTGAGCAGGGGGTTGGACTACAAGACTTCCAAGGTCCCTTCCAACTCTATTATTCTATGTTCTGTCTTTCTGACTAATGAATTAATAGCCGTTTGAATCATGAAATCAATTTTTCCTCAGCACGGGTTTCAGTTAAACCCCTGATCTATGCACATCCCCTCGAAAGTCTTGAGAAAGCTTGTAGTGAAAGTGTATGTCACCTCCTCCACCTCCGAGAGATTCAGTGACAGTTCTCCTAAAAGGATCTTCCTGTTGTTCTTGTTGTTGTTTCAGGTTGTGATCAGGACCACTGGGGCCCTCACTGCAGCAACCCTTGCCAGTGCCGGAATGGAGCTCTGTGCAACCCCATCACTGGCGCTTGTGTGTGCGCACCGGGATATAAAGGATGGCGCTGCGAGGATTTGTGTGAGCCGGGAACTTACGGGAAAGGCTGCCTGCTCAAGTGCCAGTGTCATAATGGGGCAACCTGTGACCACAACACAGGAGAATGTCATTGTGCACCTGGATACACTGGAGTTTTGTAAGTCATGGGGCTGTGGATTTTAATTTCAGGGGAAGCAGCAGCCGGTTTTATGTAGAGGTTAGAAAGGCCTCGGGTTAGAAACCAGAAAATTGTGAGTTCAAGTTCTGTTGTAGGCATGAAGCCAACTGGGCCAGTCACCCTCTCTCAGCCCTAGGAAGGGCAAACCATTATTTGCTTGTTTGTTTGATATGTGTGCCACCATCTCATCTAGAAATGACAAGAAAATTGCAGGGACTTGTCCACGCAGTTGCCAGGAGTCAGCCCTGATCAAAATGCACAAAATAATACTCAGAACATCTTATTCTTACCTCTAACACCATCAAACAACAACATCTGCCTATCCTAGGTCCTTGGGAAGAACTCGATAGGTGGAAAAAAATTTCAAATCCAGTCTGAACATCTGGCTGACTGTGTGACGAACCATAATAACATAACATAACATAATAACATAATTACTTAGAATTGAGGAAGAGGTCTGTTAATGACCTGCTAATGACACTGTACCACTTCCTATCACTATCTTCTACAGTAAAAAACACCCCATCTTCTGCATAGGGTATCATCAAGCATTTTGAGGTTCAATGAAGCCAAAAATAGGGAACTGTTTTTAAGAAGAGATTGGACAGTCACTTGTCTGAAATGGTATAGGGTCTCCTGCTTGAGCAGGGGGCTGGACTAGAAAACCTCCAAGATCCCCTCCAGCTCTATTCTGATTCTAAAATTTAATTCTGGGTTTTTGTTGACCTGATGGAATGATGGGGGCTTCAGCGCCCCTTTGTGCTGCCTTGCCTTCCATAGCATGGAAATTGACCTACAATGTGGTCAGCTTCTTCCATCACAAACCAAGAATCTATTAACTCTTTATGGCTCCTATCCATGCATGTTTGTGGAGCAACGGGGGGGGGAGTCACATCACACATGTCAGGACAGCATTCTGACGTCATGGTGGCTTCTAACAGACACCTATGCTGATATGCCTTAATAGACCTATCATTCCCTGTGAATTGATCTGGCAGTAGAAAGCATTTATATTTGTCAGTTCAAAACTGCTTCCCTGAGACAGTGGATATTGATTTTGTTTTTCTCGTAAATATTTATAAATGTTATTGTTTATTGTGAACATTAGGGATCTAGGACAGATTGCAAATTCATAAAACAACTGCTTCGGCATGTGCGCCAACCTCTGCTTGAGTCCATCAATCTAGATTTTCAATATGTGTGTTGAATTGATCCTCCCTGACTTCTCTGAGTTTTATTTAGTATCCCAATCTCGGACTAAGATGTGAGGCTTTCCCCTAGCCAGGGATAGGCAACCTTGGCTCTTTTATGACTCGTTGATTTCAACTCCCAGAATTCCTGAGATAGCCACCTTGAGGGGAAAGGGAGAGGTTTCCAAGCTGAGCCATGCCGGCTCAGGAATTCTGGGAGTTGAAATCCACGAGTCATAAAAGAGCCCAGGTTGCCTATCCCTGGCCTAGATTCAAAGTTCCTACAGCCAGCCTCCCATGGTCACATGACCATATTTTGGATGCATTGCAAACAGCCCGCATTTATCAACCATTTGCAACATCCTGTCATCATTTAGACCATGATTTACAATGTTTTTTTTTTGCCAGAAATTGGCAGTTTACTTTCAGTTTTTGGCAAAAACAGCCATTGTAGACAATGGATTTGCTTAACAATCACTGCGTTCGCTTAAAGGGCACCACAAAGAAAAGGTGGTAAAATCTAGCGCAGTCATGTGGATAACCTGCTTAACAACAATCATGACTTACAACTTAAATTCTGGATTTATTTAGGGTTATAAGTCAAGGACTGCCTGTAATGAGGTATTACAGGCAGCCCTTGACTTACGACTACATTTCTGTTGCTAAATGGTACATTAGTTAAGTGAATTTTGCCCTGTTTTATGACTTTTCTTGCCACAGTTGTTAAGAGAATCACTGTATTTCTTAAGTTAATAATACTGTTAAGTGAATCTGGCTTCCCCGTTGACTTTGATTGTCAGATGGTTGCAAAAGAGGATCAGATGACCCCGGGACAATGCAAAGGTCATAAGTGTAAGTCAGTTGCCAACCCTCTGAATTTTGATCACATGACGCTGGGGAGGCTGCAACAGTCATAAGTGTGAAAAACGGCCCTAAGTAATTTGTTTCAGTGCCGTTGTAACTTTGAACGGCCCTTAAATGAACTGTTGTAAGTCAAGGACTACCTGTATTTCATATACTTTTTATTTTGTATCGGGAGCCTCAAACATTTGGAAAGCCTCAGCTAGGATTTGGGAGACTTCAGCTTGTGACTGTCCATTTTCTGAAATGAAAACCTTCAAAAAATAGTCCTTGCGTGAGCCAGAGTGATGATTTTCTTTGGGAATAAAAATCTGTTAACGTAAGCAAAAGGTTTTGAAAGAAAACCTGTCTTTTTTGGGCGATAAATATTGCCTATCTACATTTTTCTCTGAACACTGTTGATGGGATCCAGCTGCATGATAGATGATTTGTATATACCTTGGGGCAATGCTGCTGTAACTTACAAAATTGTTTTGTGTCTCTTTCTATTCCCTTTGGGTTCTATTCCCTCGCAACCAACCTGCGCAGTTGTGAAGAGCCGTGTCCTCCCGGGAGCCACGGAATCCAGTGCGAACAGCGATGCCCCTGCCAAAATGGAGGAACCTGTCACCACATCACGGGAGAATGCACCTGTCTCCCAGGATGGATGGTAGGAAAAATTGGAGCACCCCTACAATTGAGAGAAGAGAACGTTTGCAGCTCAGAGTTGAACTGTGGGGCCCTTAGTGCTCTCTGAGCTCGGTGGATTTTTTGCAGACGTTTCATTAGCAAACTAGGTAACATCATCAACACTGATGTTGTTACCTAGTTGGGTAATGAAACGTCTGCAAGAAAACTACCAAGCTCAGAGAGCACCATGGACCCGACACCTACCGCCACGAGCCTTATAATGTTTGTCTGAGTGGATTTACAATTGTACGATAACAATTTTTGCACAACTGCAAAAGTCCACAAGTCTTAAAGTTGAGAAGTTTGAAGACCCCTGAACTTCTGAGGATTTATTTCTCTTTTCTTTCCTTCCTGGTGTAGTTTCTCCATTTCCTTGACTCATCTTCATCCTTTTCTCTTTCCAGCTTTCCCACCTCTTTTTTTTTTTTTGCTACAAAGAGAAAAGAGTTTCCACATATGAGAAAAAGAAAGGTTAAACCACGCCAAGGAGAAAATCAATTAGTTTTATAAACTGAGCACCTTATTTTATAGGCAATTAATTTTAATTAGTAGTTATTATTTCAATTAAAATCAATTTATTTATTTATTTTTCTCCTGGCCCTGCCTGTTTTATTTTAATCTGGCTTTTGACAGGTTTACTTATGTGCATAGATATATATTCAAACACATGTACAAACCTGTCAAGACACCCAGACTCATTTTGGGGGGGGGGAAGGGTCGTGGGGCAGAGGGCATCTCTAGGAAATTTGAATTGAATTTTGAGAGTTTAGTCTTCTTGGATAAATATGGTCTCTGGCCTGGATTCAAATATTGACCTAGACTGAAGAGTGATCTATTGAGTGAATATAACAATTGTGAGTTGTAAACCATATTTTAACATACTCCCTGGGCTCTCATTGTACTGCCACAAGCACCTAGGTATCTATGGCAACCGTTTAGCTACCTGTGCTGTTTTTTCTTTTAAAAAAAGTCTTCTAATTTTTCTTCCAAAGGAAGAAAACTGCCAAATGCCAGCCTGTTGCATTATATTTATTTCTGAAAATGTTTGTGGGCTTTGCACAAATCCACAGATATTGATATTGATTAAACCTTCTGTTTTTATACCATGTCTGCACTGCCTTAACTTCTGAAAACTCAAGGCAGAGAAAATATGCCTCTTGCTGCCATCCGCTTACTCTCACGTGGGATGGAGACCTAAAGCAGTTCAAGAGTACAACTAACAGAATAACAGAGTTGGAAGAGACATTGGAGGTCTTCTAGTCCAACCCCCTCCTGAAGCAGGAGAGCCTATACCATTCCAGACAAATGGCTGTCCAGTCTCTTTTTAAAATGTCCAATGTTTTCTTGAAAACCTCCAGTGTTGTTTCACTGATTAATTGTTCTAACTGTCAGGAAATTTCTCCTTAGTTTTAGGTTGCCTCTCTCCTTGATTAGTTTCCATCCATTGCTTTTTGTTTTGCCTTCAGATGCTTTGGAGAACAGGTTGACCCACTTTTCTTTGTGGCAGCCGCTCAAATATTGGAACACTGCTATCATGTCACCTCTAATCCTACATGGAACTATTTCTATCTGGAGAGAAACATGCACGGGGTACCTCAAAATTCTGTCTTGGGTCCAGTACTTTTCAGCATTTTCATGAATGATCTAGCTAACACTTTGGAAGATAGATTGAAGATCTAGAAAGACCTTGACAGACTTTCTAGGATTGCAGAATCTTTTTTGTATCATGGTGATCAGAACTGGATGCAGTATTGCAGGTGTGGCCTTGCTAGTGTAGTATTAAAGCAGTAATATAACTTCTCGTGATCTTCAGTCCATTGGCCTTTTTTGCACATTATTGACTCATATTTAAATGACTTTTCCACCAGGACTCCAAGCTCCCTCTTGCGGTTAGTTCTATTCGCCAAGTTTCACCTAATCTCTACCTGTGCATTTGTTTTCCACACTTACGTTTGTCGCAGCATCCCTATGGTCCCGTGATCAAAACACTTGGCAATTGACTCATACTTATGACGGTTGCGGTATCCCAGGGTCAGGTGGATCCCCTTTGCGATCTCTGATGAGGGAAGTCAGTGGCGAAACTAGATTCACTTAAACAACCATGTTACTGACTTAACAACTGCAGTAATTAATTTAGCTGGGGAAGAAAAGTCGTAAAATGGAGCAAAACTCACTAGCAAATATTTCACTTAGCAACAGAAATTTTGGGCTCAGCGATGGTCGTAAGTTAAGGATTATCTGTATCTGCCCTTCCTTAAACTCGCTGGAGAAAACACAGAATTTGTGTACAGCGACAAAACTTGGAGGTCCCCCTTTTCACTGAAGGGAAGATATAAAATGCTCCCCCTTGGGCAGAGATTTAAACATACAGTATTTTTCATGCATATCGTCTCACTGATTGCCAGCAGCGTTTTGCTAGTGTTAAGAAGTCACTGAGGGGACCTTCCAAACAATGCATTATTCCTCGCCTTTAATTCTGCGTGTCAAGAAGAAAGGCTGACTTCTCTCTTATTTTATTTTTTTTTAAAGAAAAGCATCTAAATCTGTATCAATAACGTGATAATTAACTCCCTCTGGGTTTGCCAAAGACCTCATTCAGTTCTGCTATGCCCTCTGGCATTATTCCACCGTTTGACAATTAAACCCTTGGCGAATGCTGCTGCTGCTGCTGGAAATGAGGAAAGCAGCAAAAGCCAGAGACTCGGGAGATGCTTTGTTTATTCCTGGGAAGACCAAAAAGACTATTGGGAAGCTATGAATTGGGGGAGAAAATGGAGGAAGGGTTGTTCTGTGAGATGAGCCTAGCTTAGAGCATAGAACCTAGAATCAAAGGTCTAGAAGGGACCTTGGAGGTCTTCTAGTTCAACCCCTTGCTCTAGACCTTCCAGACAAGTGGCTGTCCAGTCTCCTCTTAAAAAAGCTTTCGGTGATGGAGCACCCACAACTTCTGAAGGTAAGCCCTTCCATTGGTTGGTTGTTCTCACTGTTAGGAAAGTTCTCTTTAATTCTAGGTTGTTTCTCTCCTTGGTTAATTTCCATCCATTTTTTCTCATCTTGACTTTTGGTGCTTTGGAAAATAGTTTGAGCCCCTTGTCTTTGTAGGAGCCTCTTAACTATTGGAACACTGCTATCATATCTCCCCTAGTTCTTCTTTTCACTAGAATAAACATACTCAATTCCTGCAACCGTTCTTCCTATGTTTTAGCTTCCAGCCCTCCCCCCCCCCAATCATCCTGGTTGCTCTTTTCTGCACTCTTTCCAGGGTCTCAACATCTTTTTTATATTGTGGTGACCAAAATTGGATGCAAGTAAAACAAGCAGGATTTACTTTTAATTTTCACAATCTCCCTTTGCAAGAAGTAATAAAAACAACAAGCTCTTATTAATTGCAGTGAATAAATGACTGTTTTGCAGAACAATACACAACACGGCTTGGAGAAGTGCATCACCTGGATAGCATCCGAAACTGCTCAATACAATAAATAAACAAAACTAAAAAGCTGAGTACAGAACCCAGTATGAATGGAATCGCTCCAGTCTCTGGCCTATTTCTAGTGGCATGACCTGAACGTTGGTGCCAAGCTGATGTGTGATGTCTGTGGCACAGCGCTGTGATTTGCACTAGTTTGTACATCAGACTGAAACAGAGACTACAACATAACCTGCAGGCTTGAATCAATACAACATAATTGCTACAGGGTTAAAAATGTCCTGCGGAAAATAGGAAAACCAAAATTAATAGGGTAACTGCAAAAAAATTTTTCCTGCCAACAAACAAGCTGTGGTGAGCCAAAAATGTTTCATCTACAAGGATGCAGAGTAGACCCTCCAAAGGATGCTGTGAAGTTTCTTAAAAATCATATTTGAGGTTCCTTCACCCCTGGGACAAAGCCAAGGCTTAGAGTGTCTGCATGGAGAAGGACTTGAATTTCTAAGTAAAAGTAGTCTGCTTACAAATACTGAGATGGTGAGTTTAAGAGAGCCTCTCCAGGGCTTTCATAAAAAAGAGAAAAGAGAAAACTTCAGCATGGCTACAACAAAAGTGAAACTTTTTCTTCTTTTGCTGGATTTTGAAAGTCTTGGTATTTGGCATCTGACTGCAGCCAGCCGGAATGTACAATCAGAACGACCTGAGGCTGGCAGATTGTGCTTCCCAGAATATCTAACTTGGACTTTAGAGATTTTGTTTTCTTGTTTAGGGTATTTGGAGGAGAAAGATGTCATATACAATCTCATAGCTTAAAATAAACTTTATAGCAATAGCACTTAGACTTATATATCGCTTCATGGTGCATTTACAGCCCTCTCTAAGCAGCTTACAGAGTCAGCACATTGCCTCCAACAATCTGGGGTTCTCATTTTATTGACTTTGAAAGGATAAAAGGTGGAGTCAATCTTGAGCTGGTCAGGATCGAACTCCTGGCAGTGAGCAGAATCAGCCTGCAATGCTGCTTTCTAACCACTGTCCCACCATGACTGCTAATATACACCCTCACACCCCCACTCACACCCACACATGTATAAAACAATGATTCCTGAGTAAGTGAATATGTGTGTGTGTGTGTGTGTGTATGTGTATATGTATATATGGGAGATGTGTGTGTGTGTATAATTTGCACTTCAATTGTTCTATTCTCCATACCCTGACTCAAGAATTTTTATTTTGTTTCTGAATCACATTTTAATAACAACTTTAAAGATATTCTAAGTTTTATACTCTTCGTTTGTTAAATTTGGTCCAAATTCCACCTTTTTAATTCCTTTTGGAGCAAAATTATTATTTGGAGATATTGAAAACAATGAAAACAGTTGTTTTTAGACAATCCCACACAGGTTACAGAAGTTACAGAATAAGAGAATTGGAAGGAACCTTGGAGGTCTTCTAGTCTAACCCTCTACTCAAGCAGGAGACCCTATAACCATTCCGGACAAATGGCTATCCAGTCTCTTCTTTAAAATCTCCGGTTTTAATCTCTCTCTCTCTCTCTCTCTCTCTCTCTCTCTCTCTCCCTCCCTCCCTCCCTCCCTCCCTCCCTCCCTCCCTCTCTCTCTCTCTCTCTCTCTCTCTCTCTCTCAGGGTTCTGTGTGTGCTCAGCCTTGCCCATCGGGAACATATGGGGTTAACTGCAGCCAAGAATGCCCATGTCATAATGGAGGACAATGCGACCACGTGACAGGGGTGTGCCTGTGTACTGCAGGGTATATGGGAGACAGGTAGGCACAAAGTTAGATAAGGGTAACCAATTTATGCATTCTTACCAAAAAAAATATCTGCTAATGTCGTATGTGATCCTGACATGACTGCCTGTCTGTACACCAAGAAAAATTGCCTTGCCTGATCCTTCTGGGCTTCCAACGACTGACTGGGATGACGCTGAGCGGCTGGATGGATGGCCGTACGAAGAGCAGCTGAGCCTCCCACAGGGAAGTTTTAACAGTTTTCCAACAGGCAATTTCTATTTCTGCATCCCAAATGAACAATAGGACTGGCTCAGTTATAAATATGAACATCGCTACATTGTTGTACAGGTAGTCCTCGACTTACGGCTACAATTGAGCCCAACATTTATGTTGCTAAGCAAGACATCAGTTAAGTGAATTTTGCCCCATTTTACGGCTTTTCTCACCACAGTTCTTAAGTGAACCACTGCAGTTGTTGTTAAGCGAATCCAGCTTCCCCATTGACTTTGCTCATCAGGTCACAAAAGGGGATCACAGGACCCCAGGACACACTGCGACCGTCGTAAGTATGAACTTTGATCACGTGACCCATCAGTGTGAAAAAGAGTCCTAAGTCACTTTTTTCAGTTACGTTGTAACTTTGAACGGTCCCTGAATGAACTGTAAGTTGTAAGTTGAGGACTATCTGTACTGTTGTCTTGGGTGAGACGACCTAAGGATCCTACGAGGCTTTAAAAAATACTCCTTGGACAGTTAAGCTTGCAACTCTTGTCCACAAATGTCAATAAATTTATGTCCTAATAAAAGCATTCATTTTTAATTGATTACAGGACTCTAAATGATTTATGAGAAACACTGTAAGTGTAGTAAGGCAATGTTATGCAATCCGAAGTTGTTATTTCATTTCTCAAAAGATTTATCTGTCATCCCCAGCTCACAAATTCTCAGGGCAGCTCGCATATCTTACCAAGATAGACGTATAAATAAACAATCACCTCAAATAGAAAATAGCACGAATGAGAGATAAAAGGTAACAAGCAAAATCAGTTGACAGTCATAAAACTCAGATTGGACAGAAACCAAATGATAGGCTCACAAACATTTTCCCCAACCCTTAATTTGCAAAAGATAAAAAGATTTCTGATTTCTTTCCTAAAGGTTTTTTTTTTTTTCCAGGAAGCAGGTAACGGGGAGAATATTTGGTAGCTGATGCAGTTCTTCCCTCAATTTGTATTCTTGAAGCAATATATCAATGGAAATTAGTTATTTTTAAAAGAAAATCTAAAGTTCTCTGATTTTACAGTGCAGCTGTTCAACGGTAATTGAAATATATATATTAGAGAACGTTCAGACAACAGTCCATTTATGTCTGGAAATACTGTAGAAAAATGCATTCAAGAAAATTGTTTCCAAAAACAAATATTTAAATAAAAACATTTTCAGAGCCGTGTACTCCAAAACACAAATGTTAGGATGAGTTATTCATTTATTTATTTGATAACCCAACCTTGGACTAGAAAATAAATTGATAAATCTGGCATGCTGACAAAAATTGCAAATAAGTCAACAAGCTTGTTTCATGCTTCCTAAAAGGCAATAATCTGAAATGATCAGGGAGATTCCCAATGGGGACATTACATAGATAGATAACCTTTTTTGTCGTTGGATTGGGCACATTGGCACACGTTAAAAATGAAATTTTGTTGTTTGCTCTCAAAAGTGTCCATAACACATATTTAAACATGCTATACACAACATTATAAACCTACATCTTTCCATATAAATAACATATAAATATTAATCAACTGTCCATCTTGAATGCCTAGCAGAGAGAGGAAGCTTTAGAGTTCCCAAGGTTAATACTGTATGGAATAAAACTGTGACTGAATCTGGATGTTCTGCTTCGGATACCATGAAGCCCCCTCCTCCCAGAAGCTAACAAGGAAAACAGGTCATGGAGAGGATGTGTAGTTTCCCAGATAATCTTACTGCACAAGCAACACTTCTGTGCTATGTCCTGGATGGAAGGGAGGGAACTGCCAATGATCTTTTCTGCTGTCCTCACCACTCTCTGCACCACCTTCCTGTCCGAAGCAGGGATGCTTCCAAACCAGACTGTGATGCAGAATGACAGGATGCTGTCGATCGTCCCTCTGTAGAAAGTGGTCAGGACAAGGGAAGGAAGATGTGCTTTTCTCATGCAAGGCAGAAAATGCAGGGACTGCTGTGCCTGCTTCACCAGTGTCTCGCTGTTGAGCAACCAAGCCAGCCTACTCATTAGTTGCACACCCAGAAATTTGATGCTGCTAAACATCTCCCCAGGTGAATCATTAATGCACAGAAACATCTCGATTCATTGTTCTTGGCTTGAGAAAAGTTGTGATCTTGAAATGTATTCAAAAATTCCTATTTGGACAAATTTATTTTTATTTGTTTATTGTTTGTCTATTTGCATCCTGCCTTTATTGTTTTTACAAATAACTCAAGGTGGCGAATGTAATCAGTGCTCTTTCTTTCTCCTATTTTCCTCACAACTCTGTGAGGTGGATTAGGCTGAGAGAGAGGGATTAGCCCAAGATCACTCAGCTGACTTTCATGCCTAAATTGGGACTAGAACTCACCATCTCCTGGTGATTGGCCCAAAGTCACCCAGCCAGCTCTTCACACACACACACACACACACACACACACACACACACACACACACACACATTCATCAAATAACTTTATTGTGGTCTAACAAGCCGAAACACCAAAATACAGACAAACACACCCCTGCCACTATATACTATGCAAATTTCAGTTTCTCTGCCTATATTTATATTTTTGGCTGCCCAAATCAGAAGTCAAAAAACGGCGTCCTTGAAATGGGTCACCATTTGAAGGAGAGAAAAAGCAAAAAAAAAGGGAACCTTTTTCCTAAATGCTTCATAGCATCTCTGGAAATGAGTCGCATTTTTCCAGAAAGATATTATCGCTTCTAACATTTTCATTGGCAACAATCCTCATTTTTATTATTAGTTAGGTTGCTGAGGGTTTTTTTTAATGTCCCTTATAAAGTATAATGGATTAAATTTAATTTAATTTAGATATTTGCAGCAATAAATTTAACAGGGAACACTCCGTGTTTACAGGGTATGCAAATGCATTGCCGTTGCATCAATTAATTCCCTCAAGAGTAAGCAATGAATTTTAGCTTTTTTCCTCTACCCTGCAGAGTTCCTAGTTTGCTGAAGGAACGTGGCTTCTGATTCATGACATTAAATTCTAAAGCCAAAACTCTTGCAATTTGAAGATTCATTTCTGGCTTTAGTTAAATGTTTTAACTAAAATTTTCAATTAAGTTTAACTAACAGACACTGTTTGTTTTTAAATCTCTAGGTGCTTTTATTTTACCTGTACAACAGAACCAATGAACCAACTGAAATTTTTTTAAAAATGATTCTTCTTGGTTTCTTTTAGTGCAATTCTTTTACCATTCTAAACAATAACTGGCTTCTGAGTAACTTTTAAATAATTTAAAAATATTCCTAATAATAGATTTTTTTTTAGTACCACCCCAGCTGGAAGCTCTATTTGCACTCCTTAAAGCTAGCTCATAAATTTCTGCCTAGTAAATGAAGATAATAAAGCATGTATATTGAGGTAAATATTTGATTAAAACGTTTTACTCACTAAAAATGTATGGGAAGCGAACTGCTGTTTTGTTTCTGGTCAGTTAGAGACAGTTGTGTAATTTGAATAATTTGACAACTTTCAGGCTGATAGCGTTGGGTATCTTGAGCATTACAGTAGTTCTCAAGTTATGACCATCATTTGGATCCAAATTTCAGTCGCTAAGCCAGACAGTTGTTAAGTGGGCCCTTCCCGATTTTATGAGCACAGTTGCCAGGGTTGTTAAACAAATCACTGCATTTGTTAATTGAATCAAGTGGTCACTAAGTGAATTCAGGTTCCCCCACAACTTTGCTTGTCGGAAGCTGGGAAGGTCAGAAACAGCAATCATACCACCCTGCAGTGGTTGTAAATGTACGCTAGTTGTCAAGCACCCAGATTTTGAACATGTAACTGTAGGGATGCTGCGATGGCTGTAAGTGTGACAAGCTGTTGTAAGTCATTTTTTTTCAGTGCTGTTGTAACTTCAAACAGTCGCTAAATGAATGGCTATAAATCAAGGATTGCCTCTGGTGAAATTAGACCATTTTAGAATTTGCAAGCAGTTGAGCTTGTCATTGGAAATCCTCCCCAGTGGAAACAGCAAACGTAGTGCAAAAAGACATTCTTGCAGGTGTCAAGAATCTATTTTCATTACAGGTAGTCCTTGACTTACAACAGTACATTTAGTGACCGTTCAAAGTTACAATGGCATTGAAACAAATGACTTATGACTGTTTTTCATACTTACAACCGTTGCATGGGAGAATCACCCCAGATGGCTGGGTCGCACGATTATAGAAAAGGGAGAGACCGCCCTCTTTTATTCTTTGATCTTAACTTCTTTACAAATTCTCTAGGTGTTGTAAAAAAATAACAAATTAGTATTAAGCAAACCTCTAAACACATCCATGGAAAGCGTCATGGGGAAATGCACAATCAAATAAAAACCTGACGATATGCACTGGATGCAAAGTCAACTTGCTAAAAAGCAATAAAAGTTAAGACACATTACACTGCCCAAGCCATAAAGCAAAAGGTAAAACAACAAAAAAAGCAGCCGCTTTGCAAACAGTTGCAATGAACCAGCGTGTGATTTTTTTTTTTTACTTGTTTATTTGTTTTCCTATGTATGTTTTCCTGGTGTGTATGAAATTGTGACCCAAAGAGTTTAAATGTTTGGAGGGGCAATGTCCTTTTTTCGTGTAAGATAGAAACATATCACTTTTATACAAATGGGCTGGCCGCCTCTGTTATAGTGTTTGTAAAAGAAACTAATATTCGTTACATGTATATAATGTGTTAAACAAAGCATGGTAGTGTTTAATATTTTGTGAAATTGTGGCCATTAATTCTGCTGCTGACAAGTATATTAACCCGAGCTGAAATAATTATGCACTTATTATTAAAGCCCCAAAGAACGGCTGTAAAGTAGCTCTCTCCAGATAAGGAGGGTGAAATGGAAAACTGAACACGAATCGGGCAAGGGTGCATTCGGTCGTGGTATAATTTAACTGAGCAGCGCGTTTCGCCCCTAATGGTCTTTTGGGATTGATAGGATAGGAAGTGAGACGTTTCCACTGCGTGAAATTCACATAGAGTGTATTTGATCTTTACAAGATAGTCAAGGGATAAACCATAAAGAAGTGAGGATCGGGTAGCAAAGGGCTCCTAATTACGTTAAATGGATGAAGGCACCAAGGTTTGATATTTTAGAGGCTAGATAGTGCCTGTAAATACAGGATGAGAGAGTGAGGTGTTCAGCAGCCCATTCATCTCCATGAGTGTTGTGTTTTTCTGCTTAAATAAGCACAGGTAACAGTGGGGCATGTTTCCCCATCAGCCAGAAAGCGTTGCCAACTGCAGGATCCAATCTGAGTCAGTCAGTGGGACCAAAAGTTTATTCTTCCAAGCTTTTGGGCTTGTCCTGGAGCCCATCCTCAGGGAACTGTTGCTGGTTGGGCTCCAGCATGAGTCCGAAAAAAGAGGTGGTAAGATGGCTCAGTGGTTAAGATGCAGGATTTGTCACCTGGAAAGCCTAGGTTCAGGACCCAAGCATCGTGTGACGAGTGAGCTCCCATCCTCGCCCCCAGCTCCTGCCCACCTAGCAGTTTGAATGCATGTAAATGCGAGTAGATAAATGGGTACCACTGCAGTAGGAAAGTAACAGCACGCCAACACATCATGCTGGCCCCCTGACTGCAGAAATGCCTTCACACAGTGCTGGTTCAATGGTCTCGAAATGGAGATGAGCACCATCCTCTATATAGTCAGCAGTGACTACCGTAGCAGAGTAAAATCCGCAGGGACTCCTTGTTTAGGCAATGAAAGACTCAGACTGGATCCTGCAACGTTATCCTGGGACACGTATATTTGCCTTCACTTGTGAGAGTTGCCAGTCGCTCAGCCAAAGAAAGGATGGGTGCTGTAGTCAGGAAGATCGAGGGCTGCTCAATTCCAACTGCCAAAAGGTTAGGTGTGAAAGACGTGTGTGTGTGTATACACACACACACACACACACCAGAGTTCCAGAGAGAGCGGACGTAGAGGGGCAAGTCAAAGAATTGGCTGCTGATATTAAATTCTCAAAAATGATGAAAAGAGATGGCAGCCTAAAACAGGGATTCCCCAAGCCCCTGGCCACTTGTGCAAGCTCCATTTGTGTGAATGGCATGTGTGAATACCCACCATTTGTGTAAATGGAGTTGTGCATGCGCTCGCACATTCCCTCTCTCCCCCCTCCCCCCCCGCCATCACCACTGCCGGTCCACAAAGCTGAGGACCTAAGAGATATTTGCAGTGAGAAGCTACTTGGATATAATTTGAATCAGAGGAACTGGACAGTTCATTTCAAGAGAAAATGGGCCATTTTAAGGTTATAGATATTCAGGGCATATCTGTAAAGTTTCCTGCATTACATAAACATACCCAAAAATTCTTCCTAGGTAGAAAACTTGCATTCCATAAAGCCTAAAATTCTGGATCTTAACAAAGTAGCTTTCCAGAGGTGGATGTATTTTGAACCATTTACTTTGAACTATTTAAATTTGGCAGTGATGTTCCATATTTAATTATCTAAATATGTAAATCAGTTCTTAATTAACTTCAACCCAAACATTAAAAGTAATATTTCTCTTTTAAAAGGTAACAGAAGACTGTTCTACCAACTAAAAATACCTTAAAATCATTATCGCAGATGATAAACTCAAGCAGAAGTATATATAGCAGCAAAACTACTAAGTGTTTTTCACAGCATGTTTGTTTCTGGTCAAAATTATATTAAATTAAACCAGCCGCTGTATATTCCATTTCCTATTAAGCGATTTAATTGCTGCATTTTTTTTCCCAGGCCAGCAATGCCTGCTTAAATATTTTCTCTCTTATGGTCATATTTTAACACTTTCTACTCTGTGCAAAATGACCAAGAAAGAAATAATTAGCAGTATCTTCTCTGCAAGGCAGTTATAGTAAACATTTTAATCAGTGGTGGTATGACTTGCTAGCCTCCAGACATTGTGGGTGCTTAATCACTGGAGGTTTTTAAGAAGAGACTGGTCAGTGACCTGTCTGGGATGGTATATAGAATAGGGGTAGGCAACCTTGGCTCTTTTATGACTCATGGACTTCAACTCCCAGAGTTCCTGAGCCAGCCATGCTGAGGGGAAGGGAGAGGTTTCCAAGCTGAGCTATGTTGGCTCAGGAATTCTGGGAGTTGAAGTCCATGAAGTCACTATACCATGTCTGAGAACACCAGGAATGAGTTCATACTGGTCAAATCCCATGCAATATTGACAGAATATAGTTGGTTTGGGTTAGATATTGTTTGGACCCAACACTTGTGGCTTGTGATTGATTTATGGTTACCCCAACCTTGGCAACTTTAAGATGGGTGGACCCTCCTCCTGCAGAATCATAGATGTTCTACAAAGCCAGACTTGGAAATCTTTTGCAAGTCCTCCAGAGTGACTACCTGATCCTAAGTCCATGATGTTTCTTTGTAGATGTCAGGAGGAGTGTCCAGTGGGGACATTTGGCTTCCAGTGTATGGAGAAATGTAACTGTGAGAACAGAGCCAAGTGCTATCATGTCAACGGAGCATGCCTGTGTGATCTGGGCTTCAAGGGCATCCATTGCCAGGAGCGGATCTGTCCAGAGGGATACTACGGGCTGAAATGCAACAAACAGTGTCCGTGTCATGCTACTAACACAGTCAGGTAGGTGTGCGGTGCTTCTGCAAAGGGGGAGATGTGGGCTGAGAAGCTTTCCAGTACCTATATCATTTCAGACTTGAGGAGGGGACTGGACTAGACTTGAGCAGGGGGCTGGACTAGAAGACCTCCAAAGTCCCTTCCAGCTCTATTCTGATTGATTCATTCATTGATTGAAAAACTGTGGCAAGAAAGGTTATAAAATTGGGCAAAACTCACTTAACAAATGTATCACTTAACAGACACAGAGACACAGAGGTTCTCCTGGTCTTCTGGATGAGATTTCTTTCTGGAGGTTTTAGTCAGCCAAGCTTTCTTTGACAGTCTGCCTTGTGGACTTAGGGACAAAGACTTCCTTACTCCAATTCCATAAATTGTTGCATTCATTAAGGAAACCTAAAGTTTGGATGCCTTCTTAGTGAAGGGTACCACCATTCGGTAGGACTTCCACATTTGTTAGGAATAAATGATCTTAACATTTACTCCTCCAGTAAAATATTTGCATTGTATGCTTCAGATCCAGCTGGATTTCTCTTCACTGCTGGCTTCTTTTTAACTTCCTGTCTGTTTGCACCTGCTTTCTTGCCTTGAAAGAGTCTTTTCTCCAGATGGTATCTGCAGCTCTTAATAAATGAGTCCAGTCACTCAACTGATAAAATCTGTCCTTCTGTTCAGCCTTATCTTGGTCCTCGGGGGACAGAAGAGACAATGGCAGGCATAGATCCATAGATGTATTTTTCAGGCATGCTATTGGCATTTCAGAGTTTAACTTTTTCCAAGAAACTCTGCTTCCGCTTGTTAAGTTTCAAGACAAGGGGGTACCAAAAGATAAGGGACCGATGGCCTGTCTGAATGGATTTGGGTTCCAGTTCAACCGTGGCATATCAGCGTAGGCAAGGCACATAATACCTGTGTCCAAAATTGGATCAGATTCTTGTACAGGGGTATCTTGGTATTCAACTTCTTTGAAGCTTTGTAAAATAGAGCAAGATTCACTTAACAAGTGTCTCACTTAGCAACATAAATGTTGGACTCCATTGTGGTCATAACTTGAAGACTACCTATACACAACGCATTTTGACACAAAAAATTTGTCCTGACACTCATTGTCTGTTTGGTATTTGATGCTCAAGCTAGAACTTGTCCATTGCCTTTGTGACTTATTATTCCTTATGAGAGAAATAAGCACCATCGTTTTCGGCACTTATTCAGAACTAATTAATAATGAGTATTTCAGTATCATTCTAGATCTAATTCCAAACTAAGGTCTTCAGCCTTGACCCCCAGAACCAACTTGGTATCAACAGTGGACACTTTGCTGGAGCTGAACTAAAAAAAAAAATAAAGAGGGACACAACTTGTTTTGAGTCAACTTTCCTCAGTGAATTTCATAAGTAGAATTTGCACAGAGAAGAATAAGATTCAGAGTCAGGAGATATGAGCTGAGACAGAATATTATTGAAGGCAGAAATATAGATTTTAAGAGACAGAGAGAGTGAGATTAAAAAGAGCCCCTTAGCTTTTTCTGAATTGGTATTGGCTGTTAATTCTGTTCTTTTTGCTGTCTGTCTCTTGCATGCTTATTATTTGGGGGAATAAATTTTGGGCCACTCATAAAATATCTGTATTTCATGTTGGTAATTTGTTTTTAAAAGGCCTAACCTTTTATATTCTGATGAAAGACTCCACCTTGCAGGAGAAAAGCTTACCAGGTGAAGTGGTGTTTGGTTGAATTGTAATATATGGATTCTGACTGCAAGAAACATCTATTACTTTTGAAAGATTTAATTTAGCTACCCAGGGCCGAGTCGCTTGAAAACGTAGCGTTGTGTGTGCCACAAGGAAGAAACGCAAAACCAGGGAAGCTAAACTATTGCTTTGCTGTTTCATTTTCTGTTTTCATTCCATGGAGATTAATAGAAGCGGAGGTGGGTGGAGGCAATGGCTGTTTTTATGAGTTTTCATCTAAATGTTAAGAGGTGTGAACCAAGGAACATATAATTCAAGGAGTGTGTCAGTTGGAAACTTTTCTTATTTTTTATTAAGCTGATTAATTGTTTTAATTAGTTACTCGAGGAAGCGTAAGACAGCTACAGAACTTGGTAATTTTTAGGCACAACATTATGTGCTAGCTCTTCCGTTGATAGCTTAAGTAGAGAGGGCGGGGGTAGAAACTGGGCCAGCTAAGTAAAACTTTTCTTGGGGACTTTGTAATTCTGGTTTGCATTTTCAAAGTAAAGCAAATGCAATCCTAGGCTGCATTAACAGAGGGATAACATCAAGATCATGTGAAGTATTAGTACCACTTTATAAAGCCTTAGTAAGACCACACTTAGAATAATGCATCACGTTTTGGTCATCATATTATAAAAAAGATGTCGAGACTCTGGAAAGAGTGCAGAAAAGAGCAACAAAGATGATTAGGGGACTGGAGACTAAACCATATGAAGAACGGCTGTAGGAACTGGGTTTGGCCAGTCTAAAGAAAAGAAGAAATAGGGATGACAATGATAGCAGTGTTCCAGTGTTTGAGGGGCTGCCACAAAGAAGAGGGATCAAACTATTCTCCAAAGCATTTGAGGGTAGGACAAGAAACAATGGATGGAAACTAATCAAGGAGAGAAGCAACCTGGAATTAAGGAGAAATTTCCTAACAGTGAGAACAATTAATCAGTGGAAGGGCTTGCCTTCAGAAGTTGTGGGTGCTCCAACACTGGAGGTTTTCTAGAAAACATTAGACAACCATTTGTCTGGAACAGTATAGGGTCTCTTACTTGAGGAGAGGGTTGCACTAGAAGACCTCTAAGGTCCCTCCTAACTCTGCTATTCTTTGAATATGGCTAAGAGGAACCTTTTCTTGAGGTCTTCAGAAGATGCTCAAAGAAAATATGCCTGGCCTAACAGTGGAGGCCGAACAAAATGCATGCAGTTAATAATGTCAGGATGATGACCATAACAGCACAATCAAAGCCCTGTTCTTTTCTGTGCATGCAGACTTTCCAGACACTACAGATGGCCCAGAGGAGCTTGTTGTGCACTTTCCAATCATGCCAGAGTCCTAACAATTGCTGCTGCTCCAAACTGCAAGCTTGGGGACCCAAGAAAGGCCAAGGATAATCTTCCCAGATGTTGCCCATCCAGAATAGGGGAAGCCTTCTCTGTCCAGAACAATGCTTTGAATCCTGGAGGTGGACCACACAGAGGCCAGGTGCCTTGCACTTAACCCTAGCATCCTATGTCCAGGATTGCTGGACAAATAACCACAATCCCAGTGCCTTTTCCTCCTGAACCTTTCTCCACTGGCTTTTTGGCCTGCTTCTATTTATCCTGACTCTGAGCAAATTTCTCTTCATTGCCCTTCCTATCCACTCAGCACAGTGATGTTCTTCCTTCTTCGTCCAGCAATACTAAGCTGGAATCAATTTTTCCTCATGACCTTTTGGTGCCACATAGAAATATTGACCTCCTTGCTTCTGACAGATTGCCTGTTTCTTTGGCTGGAATGTTTGTACATATTGTGCAACATTTAACCGGGTCAAATGTTGGCTTCTGGGGATCTGGAGTTGCTTTTCTTTCTGCCAGACTAGCTGAATAATGCCGGATCTCTTTTTTGACAGTTGCCATCCTCTGTCTGGCGAATGCAACTGCAAAGCTGGCTGGGCAGGGCTCTATTGCAACGAAACGTGTGCACCTGGATTCTACGGTGAAAGTTGTCACCTTGTTTGCCATTGTCAAAATGGAGCAGATTGTGATAGCATCACAGGGAAATGCACCTGTGGACCAGGATATATGGTAAGTTCTGACCTCCTCCTATCATTATTATTGTTTGTTGCACAGTTAGCCAGATGTTCAGATTGGATTTGGCATTTTTGTCTGCCTATCGAGTGTTTCCCAAGGAACTAGGATAGGCAGATGTTGATGTTTGATGGTGTTAGAGATATCATCGCAGGTTATAAGCTGTTCTGAGAGACACAGAGGCTGGCCCACCTATTAGTATGTCAGCTACTACCCGAAACATATACCAATAATAAATTATTTTTGGCCAATGACGAAGCCAAGAAGGTGGCTTAATTCTGGCAGTTTAAACTTTGATCTAGACATGGAAGGAGGAGGAGGAGGAGGAGGAGGAGGAGGAGGAGGAGGAGAAGCTGTTCTGCCAGCTTTTGCAGTTGACTGATGGTGAATTTGTCAATGCTGATGGTGTTCAAGTGGTGCTCCAGACGTTTTGGGATTGCACCCAAGGCACCTATCACTATTGGTACTACCTTTGCTTTTTTTTGCCACAGTCGTTCTATTTCTATTTGCAGGTCTTTCTATTTTATGATCCTCTCCAGTTCTTTCTCTTCTTTGCTGTCCCCAGGTATTGCCACGTCCACTATCCAGAGTCTTTTGTCTTTCTTATCGACAGTTGTTAATAATATCCCAATCGACAGTTGGGATATTATTATTATTATTATTATGTTTATACAGTCTCTTCTGAACAGTGTTCTCAGCAAATGCTGATCATTTAGGGTCACTTCAAGCTTTAGAACTGCCAGAAATGTGCATATGTTTCCAAGCAAAGTTGCTTTCGGGAAATGAAACGCTCTGAGGTCAAAACTAATTTGTTAGCTATTTTGACAATTGTACTTTTGCTTTTTAAAAAATTTATTGTAATTTGTCATAATCTAAAATAGAAAAGAAAGATAATGGGGAAACGGGGAAGGGAAAAGAAGGGTAGGATGGAGGGGAAAGGGGGGGGAAAGCATTGATTTCCAACATTTTCAGTGCAATAAAATTCAAAATAAAGTGACAACCCTGGCTTTTTATTTTCACATATTTAGTGAAGCCATTTGTACAACAGCAAACTAATCTAATCAGCAAAATACAAAGTCAAAAACGTCATTTTCTGTTTTGTTTTGTTTCGAGCAGAAACTCCAGAAGCAGTTTCCAAACAGAAATAAAACTGGATGCATTCTTTTCGTTAATTAAAATAGTTAACTTTGCCATTGCAGATTGAAAAATCTTCCAAATTTTATCAGTAATTTTATTTCAGCACTCTTTTACTTCTTTGTAAGCTTGACAGAGTGACGGTCCAAAATTTGATGAAGGCCAAGCAAATTATGAAAAGAACAGCCTTGTTTATCTTATTGCTCTTATAACAATATCAGCAGGGATTGAACAGGACAACGATACTTAACTTGGAGAGAATAGGGTTAAAGACTCAGAAGCTCTAAAATGCAACAGATTTCTCAGCTTTGGGGTTATTATAAAATTATGAGAAGGCAAATACATATTTGAAAATTAAATATGTTATTTGGAAGTAAAATAGTTAATATTTTATATTCTAACTCTTATGTCTAAAAGAATCAGGCAGAAAAAAAAGTAAAATTTGGGGTGGTAAGACAACTGTGAATATACCATCAGATCAAAGAATCAGTTTACTAGTTCAAAGTAATTTCTCTTGCAGTATGAAAAAAACTGTTGTAGTCTAATGTCAGGGTGCCAAATACTATTAAATCTATGCTGGGCATCCCTTCATTTGAAGTATGTATACATGTCAGCCCCTTATTGTGACAAATGTATTTGTATCTTCTATTTTCTATTCTCCCTCCCTGGCTTTCTTCCTTTCTCCCTCTCTCCCTCCCTCTCTCTTCTTTCCTTCCTCTTCTTCATTTCCTTCCTCCCTTCCTCTTTCTTTCCTCCCTCCTTTTCCTTCCTTCCTTCCTTCCTTTAGAAGTGCCTTAGACTTTAGATATTTTTTTCCAATTTGACTCACTCTGAGCATTACATTTGATGGAGGAAAATATTCCCCTTCATTCCCGAATCCTTTTCTGAAATTCAGATTTTAAACATACACCCTTCACAAAAGGAAATAAATCACAACTGTGCTTTAGAACCACATCTTTGATACAGCTTCCCTGGGAAATCTCCTCTGGGTTTTTTACCCATTCCAACCGGCAACATTGAATATTAGCTTCAAAGCTTGTAACCAAGGCCTTCCTCGCGTTTTCTCCCATTAAGAAAAAAAATAATAACCCAGAGTTTCAAAGTGAAACTCCTCCAAAGGTTGATTAGGTTCCGCTGGCCCACTCTGAAAATAACATTTCATCTCCCACTAAAGAGCTATTTCCACAATGACATTTAAACAGCTTGGTTATTGAAGATGGCAGCATAATCACTGGAGCATATTTAGGTATTAGTCGCATTGCACTCCCATAATGTACAATAGTCTCTGACAATTAGTCCAGGAAGGGCTGTTAAGACTGGAAATCGCTAATTTATTGCAGCGGAAGTGTGTTTGTTATCCTCGGGTTAAGCTGGTTTCTGAGACATTGTCTCATGGACGGTTATTGAAACCGCTGGCTTTGAGGAGTGGATGAGGCTCCTTCATCAGGAGAGGACTGTACCATAAGCCAGGCCATAATCACAAACAGGGGAAAGTAACACACCCCAAATCCATCTCAAGGCTCTTCTGTACTGTAATGGTATGTGGAAATGACCTTGGAAGAACCAGTGAAGAGATGCTGCCTAGATAAGAGAAGACACAGCCCAGAGCTTTGCAATGGGTAGACAGAGAGGCTCGGAAGAGATAACCCCACCTCATTAAGTTCCCAGAATGTAAAGGAGATGGTGAGTGTTCTGTACTTTCAGACCTGCGAGATTAATGTCAGCTTTCCAGGTAGTCCAGAATAAGACAGCTGGCTGAGGAATTCTGGGAGCTGAAGTCCACAAGTCATAAAAGGGCCATGTTTGAAGACCCCTGATCTACGTGCTTCGTTTTGATGGATAGCAGTACATCCATGTCCGCTTGCATGGATTAGTCAATGATTGCCAGTCATTTTAATGCTGCTCTTTAAATTATTGGGTTGGGTTTTTTTAAAAAAAAATCCTCTTTTTTATTATATTAAAATGCACAAGGCTATAGATAACTTTGGAAAGCCTTTTAAACTCCAAAAGGCATCCTTGTAGACAGATGTTTGAGTAGCTCTAAATCTGGTCTTCTGCTCTTGCCCCACCCATCTGGACAGCTGCAAATGCTTTGAAGATGGTGTGCTGGACAGCTCTTGGCTTTAGACAGATGCTGGAAAAACAAAGTATCCCAAGCCTTAGTTTGCTTTTCTGCAATTTGGACTTTGCTTTAGATGCAGAGAGATTTGCTGACTTTTAAAAACCTTCTTATAACTCACCTTAATCCAGCCTGTCAGTGACTTTGCAGGTATCCTAAACAGCATCATCCTGACAGGAGAGACAGAGAGAAATTAGCATGTTTGGGATTAGCCGTTTCAGGAAAGTTGGAAAGAGAACAAGAGGAGAAAATTAACCCTCTGAAGGTGGAGCATTTTTAATAGCATCTAAGATTTTATGGGGAAAGACCCAAGAAAGGGGAATATCTCTCACACAGTTGATGGAAACACTAATAATTTGGTCGGGCCACCTCACCCAAGCAGGCAGGGAGGGAATATTATGGACCCCGGACTGGATGGGAAATTCTGGGAGTTAAAGTCCACCCATCTTAAAATGGCTAAGGTTGAGAAACACGGTGTGAGATGATTGTGTGTGGATCAGATAGGTTGCAATTGTTAAGATGCTTTTCAAAGAGTCATGACTGTAAGCCTTGCAAATGAAGGACACAGCAGCACCAATTGTTAGGTAGTCACTGTTACATTGACATGTAGGAAGTCAACATGACTCACTGGCTGGGGAATTCTGGGAGTTGAAGTTCACCCACCTTAACGTTACCAAGGGTGAGGAGAAACTGCCCAAGATGACTGTGTGTGGATCAATCAAAGGACTCTATTTTCAGAGTCATAACTGTAAGCGTTGCAAATGAAGGACACAGCAGTACCGATTGTGAGATAATCACAGTTATCTTGACAGGTGGGAAGTAATTCCAGCAGGATTTTGCACCTTGGAAAGGACATTTTTTTTTCCTGAGCAAACTCATTTTTAATTCTTAGCCACAGCCCTCCGCATGAAACAAGTTGGCTGTGTGTGCATAAATACATTTTGATTAGTGACATCTAAGCAGCGTTTGTGAAGTTGGGGGGGAGGCAGGAAGGAGTGGAATCCAGATCAATCTGTATTGCTCAGTGTGCCTGCGTTGAGGTCAGCAATGAAAGATTAGGAGTTCAAATGCTTCTCCTCTTTAATTTTGCCTCTGCCTGATGCAGCTCTGTTTATCGCTTGCTTTTTTCTTCAAATAAATTCCAGGGGTTTTCAAAGGAGGGACAGATAGGAGAAAGAGTAAGGTCTCCATCGATAATTTAATTCAAAAATATAATTTAAGAAACAGCAATTTTCATTCCAGGAGAGGAAGAAAAAACGCCATATCCCATACAGTTAATCCTCAACTTACAACCACAATGAAACCCAAAATTTCTGTTGCTAAACGAGACATTTCTTAAGTGAATTTTGCCTCATTTTATGACCTTTCTTGCCAGAGCTGTTAAGTGAATCACCGCAGTTGCTAAATTAGTTACAAGGTTGTTAAGTGAATCTGGCTTCTCCATTGAGCTTGCTTGTCAGAAGGTCACAAAAGAAGATCACGTGACTCCGGGACACTGCAACTGTCATAGGTACATGCCAGTTGCTGAGCATCTGAATGTTTATTATGTCACCATGGGGATGCTGCAATGGTCATAAGAGTGAAAAATGATCACAAGTCATTTTTTTTAAATGTTATTGGAACAGTCATTAAATGAACTGTTGAAAATTGAGGATACCTGTACTGTTGCTTTTCACTAAATTTTTTAGGATCTGTTTCCTATTCTGGTAAGTGTGCAGAGAACCATTCTGCCTTTTTGCTTAAG